AAAAATTCTAATCATTAGACTAGCCTTATATGATTCTAATGCATGACAGACTTAATGTCTCTTCAAACTCTAGCTAATTGTGTTCTTTCTCAAATTTAAACTTGAACTTATATCATCCAAAATAACCCAGGTAGACTCATGCATACCCTTTGAGTAAGGTAACACAATCATAGAGTGGTTTAACCTTGATAAGGCATTACCCTAAGACCAAATCCAATACAAATTAAAATAATCTAATCAAATTCAGTAGAAATCTATCGATATGTCGGTGACCGATTGACCTGCTCGTGGGATGATTTAGTCTAATACTTATCCTAGGATGTCATAGCAACTCTTAAGAACCATTTCATAAACTAAGTGATTTTAAGCAAACGAAGTTTAGCCATGGACAAGACCTGATCAAATATGAGACTCAATATGACCATATAGGGGATATGGGCTATTTAGGTTAGTTTGACCATGGATTAATCCAATCTTTGGATGGATTATACTTAAGACTCATAAGAACCCATCTTAGTCAAAACCCACCCAACATAAGTTCAACTAAACTTGTTGACTCAACATCAAAACTTAACTAATCCCAACATATAATACTTCTTTGAAATCAAATTTAAATCATATATAAACCAATTATGTGCAACTTTAGGGATATATGAATCTAGTTTGTTAAAGAAGGCTTTAACTGAGTTAAAAAGGTTAGGCTAACCCATCATTAACCATGCTTAACTTGATTTGAATTTTAACCAATAATGAAGCTAATGGGAATCCATTAAACTAGTTAGGTTAAATTTAGCCCAAATTCAAATGGGCTAAGCCTAAGACTATTATGGTCCTTCTATGGTTGACTTAAGTCAAGTGGGTTCACTTAAACCGATGAACTTACCAAACTTGAGTTCAATATCAAGTGATTAGATACCCTTAAACTTAACAGCTAATATCCATCTCATGAGTAGCTACCCAAAACTCCCTTATGTTCAGCCTCACCATCCTAAGAAGTTGAGCTAAGTAACTATAGTTGTTTGTTCAAGTTTGGGAAGATAGCCACCTTAACAATCTTGATTTAGTTAATTCTCTCTCGACAACAAATCACTTACTTTGAGATTTATTGGGAAACTTTTCTTACCTCAATGATAATGCAATGGAGGATAAAGAGTTTCCCTACTAATCCTATCTTAGTGCTGAATGCTCTAAACTTGATTTATAGTGGATCATGTTATAGCCATTTAAGCTCAACTTCTTCCTTGAAGCATCCATATAATCCATATCATGAATCATAAGTTTTCTTTGAAAATAACTAATGTTTATTTGGGGGCTTGTGAAAAGTTCTTAACCGACTAATGACTAGAGAGGCAATAGCTAGGGTGATGAGGAAATTCTGCTTAGTGCTTGATAATAAATAAAATAATTAAAAGTTATGAAGTGAATTTGAGTCAAAGCATGTATAAATTAACTTGAAGGTTAGTCAAAGTACAAGATGTTAGCAACTAAATGTTGAGGGGGGTTGTTGGAAACCTAAGATTAAGAATGAGACCAATAATTGAAGGTAAAAAGGGATTGACTCAAAAGCTAAAAAGGATAAGAGGTATTTGGCACAAGACCAAGAAGCAAGTCAATTGAAAATGAATGGCCAATATTTGAGTTAGCTTGTTGACTCACTTAATATGCTAAAAGTCAAATAAGAAGATATCAACCACTAATGGAGCCATCGACTATAAGGGAGTCAGTGGGTATGCAATTCCCTCATCTCAACAAACACCAATTAATGATTAATATATATCACCAAAAGAGGGTATTGGCCAAGGTCAACATATGAAGTTCTGAGGACTTTATCTTGGTCCTATTGAACTTACTTTTGTATTTAAGACAATGAGATGAAGTAGGTCAAGTCAAAGTATCATATCTGTCCACCTTTATAGATATATTATTATCTAATTAATATTTATGTGACTAATTTGACTTATTTATTTATATTTCATTGTTTATTTAGTTTGCAAAATTATTTTCTTAAATTTTTTTTTTTTAAATTCTTTAGTTGCTTATGAGCATCAATCATCCTTTAATAGGTGTTGATAAGTAGCGATAATTCAATAATTATTTATATATCATTCACAAAGTGAAAGTGAGCATGATACTTTTTTGTTAGACCTTTGTATTTCTCCACTCATAGCCACTCTACCTTTATTATTGACATATCGGCTGACTGATAACTTGTTTTGGTATTAGTGTTCATTTTTCTAGCTTTTTTTTTTTCGTTATCTTGCTTATTTGGATCCATCTTTAGCTCTCTAATATATCTTATTAACCCTAATGCTCTCCTATAAATACTACATGTTTCTAACCCTTAAAAACTTTCAAGATGCCAAACTCAAATTTTCTCGCATGAATCAAAAGTTCTTGATTTCAAATATCTTGTCTAAACACTCTTGATATTTCTTCTGTATTCTTATAAAAATATTGCATCAATAAAATCTTTTATGCACTATAATCTTTATTGTTATTGTTAGCTTTTAGATTTAAAAGTGTGACTTTGTTTGATCTAAGTGCTACACCCTTCAACTACGAAGCAATGTAACAAATTTTTATTGACTTGCTAGTAAATGAGTATTTTGGATGGTGAAGTCTTAAGATTGTTGGTGCTTATACGTGGACATATGTTGGTTTGAACAAAGCCACATAAAATATTATTGTGTTTATCCTTTTTTTTTTTTCACCTATTTATTTATTTAATTAACAGTGATTTTATTCATTATACATGATATATTTTGGTAGGATTATTTGTGATTATATCCTAACAAATAAAAAATTTAATCTTTTGATTTATGTGTGAACCATACAAAAAAATAAGCAATCATAAAATTTTTCAAGTTTTGTGAAATTCATCATATATGTTCAAGGTGATATAAATATCTAACAATCCATTAAACTTCAAGAGAAATACATCAAAATGTAATACTTCATAGAATATAACTTCTATATTATATTTAATCAACAATAAATAAATCGGATTATATTTATATTTATTGTCTTAATTATGATTATTTGTATAATTAATAACTAATTTGTATATATATTTTTAGTTAAATAAATTACTTTGAATAAGGACATTTATTTAATTTTATTTTTTAAAAATAATCAGTTTTTACATTAAGTTAAAAAATTTATACTCACTAATTTAAAAAAATAAAATAAAAACTTAAAATAATAATTCAAAAATCAAATATAAATAGTATTAGACAATATAAATTCAAGAACATTTTTAATTAAAAATAAATTTTAAAATCCAATAAAAATTAAAAAATGGTAAATAGATAAAAGTAAAGAAAAGAAATTGACAAGGGTACTTTTTCAAAAAATTTGCTAAGAATGGGCCTAAAAAATTTTCTATAAAATAATATAAATATTTACAATTTAAAATAATTTTTAATGAATTACTTTAGTTATAATTTATACTTTCTATTAAAAATAATAATAATAAATTGTTTTTATAAATAAAAAAAGAGTTTTTATAAGCAAAAATAGAAAATGTAACATGCCTATTCTCTGATAACGTAAACAAAAATTATTTTAAAAGAAGTTTTTAGTGGCAGAATATTTTATTAGAAAAATGTTTTCTTAAGAAATCAGATTAAGAAATTCTGATTTCATAAGGAACAATAATTTTATTTTTCGATTTCTTTTAAAATCACGGTAAGGTAGAAATCCGATAATTATATTTTGTATTTGTTCTTTTTTAAAATTTTTCATTAGTCTATTTCTTAAGCTAATTTCAACTTAAAACATGTTCTTTTTTATAAAATGACATTCTTTCTTTGTTAAAGGAATGTAGAGATTCATGCAAATTTGAAATAATTCGATTTAATTTAAATTACCGTTCTTTAAACAAATGGGACCAAATCAGAATCCTGGAAAATAATGCAGAGTCATAGAAAATCAAAGGTGAGAATCTAAGATTCGGAAATTATTGCATGGAAAGGAAAATAATATGAATCAAACAACCAGAGATGTTTAAAATTTTGACATTTAATAGCAATTGGATTTTTTTTTTTTTTGGGAATTTTAGCAATTGGACGAAAATGTCGCCCACAATGCCTCCAATGATTGAAATTAATACCTTAAATGCTAGCTTAGCTGTTTCTCTGGCCTCATTGGTTAACAGTTTCCTTGAGGAAACCCTATAATAAGAGATTGGGTCCATGCCTCCTGTTCTTCTCATTATTCTTATGAGAAAACGGCTAAGTACACAGACTTCTGTATGTTTGGGTGTTCACTCTTTTGTTTTTACTGCTGCAATTCCTTTAATTCAACTTACCGAAACGTCTTCTCAGCTTGAGTTCGTCTTTTCTTTCCTACACTTCCCTTTACCGTTAGAAAGAAGAAAGCTTGCAACCTAGGATTGGGGAGAGAAGAAGGGATTTACAATTGGGAGGCGACAAAGCAGAAAAGAGGGACTTTTTTCTTTTCCTTCAGTCTCAGTCAAAGAGTAACTTTTCGGTATCCCTTCCTCTTCATGCTCGTGTCTATTTCTCTCTCTTCTTTTATAATGTTTGGTGGGCTTGGTAGATCTATGTTCTTCTCTGTTAGGTGAGAGTTGGAAAAGCTGGAGATAGATGGAGGAAAAAGACGTGATTTTTTTCCTTGTTTAACTTTTTTTCTTCTGTTTCTTGTTCCTTAAGGTTTCTTTTGCGGGTTTCGATGGTATTTGGTCGATTTTGAATACTTTTTTGTGTTTTGGAATTCTTGTGGATGGATACTGGCGAGGAAATCGCGTATCGAGTTTCTATTTAGTTGCTAATAAGAGCAGGGCAGAAAAAGGAGCTTCTTTTCATTTTTTGTCTTAATGTTGCATTCTGTTTCATCCATTGTCCAGGCTTGTGCGGTTTTTTGAGGGTTGTTGAGTTGAGTTTTCATCTTTAAAAAAAGATTAATTTTGCTTGCTAGCTTCAGTTTTCTCCGCTTGGGGGCTAAGTGTCTGTGTTGTTGAACGGGGCTTTGTGGTAAATCTCATCTCAATTTGACTTTGCTTATCGTCATCGATTGTTTTATTATTGTTGCTTAAGATTGTAGTTTCATGAGGCTTTTGCATTCGCTATTGGCTTTATTCGGTTATATTTACATGCAAATTATGGGGTTTTCCCCTAGATGAACTCTTAATTGGATCCAATAACCTTTCATTTTTAATTAGGTTTCATAATTCTTTTCAAAATTTTCATTTTATGATATATTTTTTTCTTTTAAGAAGTTTAACCTAATTGTGATTTTCCATTTTTTAACTGCAGAATAATTTTTCTAGGTTTTATTTTCCTTTGTTATTTGATTGCTATTCTGTCACACTTCTTGCTGCTTCAGAAAGGAACTAACATAGTTGGTCCTTGTTCTTCTTCTGCTACTTCTTATGAAATAGCTTTTGAAGTTTAAGTTCGGCCATTTTCCCTTTAAGGTGGGAGTTGTGTTGCACTTCTAAAAATGATGAATTTATTAGATTCTATCGTTTACTTGCATGAAGTTAGAAATTGATATCAGTTTTAAACTCTAGAAACACCTTCAAAATCCCCTCAACTATCCTCAAATATGGTGATTCAATTTTTACAGTTGAAATGAATGAAGGCAAAATCATTGCTTTTTAAAGCATGTTCTATACTTTCAAGCAACCAAATGAGTCAGTGTTGTGATTGTAACTTGACTCTAGTCTCAACTAGCTCTAATGGCTTGCCTCCCCCTTGTTTTTTCTTCTTAGGTTGACAGAATGAGAGGAAAAGGGTCAAGAGCTGAGAACTACTTTGTTTTGAATACTGGAGCCAAGATTCCAGCTATAGGGCTTGGGACATGGCAATCCGAAGGCGACATCTGCATTGAAGCTGTGACAGCAGCATTAAAGGCTGGATATCGACACATAGATTGTGCACATCTATATGGAAATGAGGTTGAAGTAGGCAAAGCACTGGCAGAAGCCTTTGATGGCGGACTTAGGAGGGAAGACTTGTTCTTGACTTCTAAGCTGTATTTTCCTTCTAATTCTTATAGGAGGGTTGAGAATTCTGTTAGAGTTTCTCTTGAAAGTCTTGGTGTGTCCTATTTAGATTTGTATCTTGTACATTGGCTTGAGAGTTCAGCTCTGGAAGATGCCACAGACCCTCCTTTGAAATCAGGGAATCAATATAAGCAGTTCTTGCAGCGGTTGAAACCGACATGGAAAGCTATGGAAGACTTAGTGGAGATGGGCCTTGTTCGTGCCATTGGCATTAGCAATTTCACTATTCCTCAAATCAATGAACTACTTCAGTTTGCTAAAATTGTTCCGGCTGTTAACCAGGTTAGTCTGATTAGATTTTCATAAATTTGAATTTCTATAGTTACTTGAAAAGAATGGTGCTTGCACTCTGCAAAGGAGCTATTTTGAATATCATCATACTAATTGCATTATATATTTTACTGTTTGACCAATTTTGTTAGATTAAAATCATGCTTGCCATTTAACTAAGGAGAAAATGATCATATTAGCCCACAAAATATTATGGGTGTGTTTCATTTTGATAATTTACTTTTTTATTCTCCAATTTGGGACCTCAATTTATTAAAATTTGATTCTTTTGATCCTTCAACATAATTCTTCTGATCTCTCGCTTCGACTTTTTTGATTAGTTGAGAGATCAAGTTGGAAATTATAACACACCCTATAATTTTCTCTTAACTTCGTCTGCTTTTTTAGAAGATAAATCATCTCATAAAAGAAAGCAGTCAACAAGCTGGACTGTATTATGATTAAAAGGTCATAAGCTCAATAATCTACTCTTTCTATTTTTCTTTGATATATACTGTGTTTAAGTGTTGTCCAATTAACTAATATATATGTGAATTACATGTAAAATGATCTGATCACAGTAGTACATCACATGGTTGGAATGCACACTTGCTAGTTGGCTGCTTTGAGCGGAAACTATGCACATAGATAAATTCAAAAGCTCAAGGTGCTTGTGATGTGCATTTTGTTTTATTTTCATAGCATTTAACGAGGAGTAGCTTCACATATTAAGGCTCTTAGAGGGTTGAGTTCTAGATGTGCTAGGAAAGCTAGATGTTTTTTAACTTCAATTGACTATTCTTGCTCATTTTTTCTTAATTAATATACTTTTGTTGAAGGGCTTCTCTTTCTTCTACAATAAAAAAATACACTTGATTAAATATTTATGGCATCTCTTATGATCTATGATGCACCGATACTTCTTCTCAAATAGGCGTGCAGTGTCTGACACCGTATCGGACACGACACTCGTCCGACACTCCTCCGACACATGTCGGACATGCCGAAAACGTGTCCGATTAAAAAATATTAAATACAAATTGGACATGCGTGTCCGTCACGCGTATCTTAAATATTTTATGAATTTTTTTAAATATAATTTCTTGTATTTGGAGGGATATAAACTAAATTTTTTATTTCCTATCCACAACACCAAAGCAACGTCCGCACTTAATACCCAATCATCGAATATTCTCATTTTTATTTCTTTTTGGCATTGAAGGTATTTTCATCTCCTCTCTCGGGGACTGATAAACGGCATCGACGCCGAAAACGTGTCCGATTAATACTAATAATTTTAAGCATAAATTCTAGTTAAATGACTTATTATTTTCAAATTATTTTTAAAATTATACTTATTTAATTTTTATACACTATTTTTTAAATATAAAAATTATAATACCGTGTCCAACCCATGTTCGTGTCCTATATTTTCAATAGCTGACGTGTCCCGTGTCCGTGTCGTGTCGCAATGTCCGTGTCTGTGCATCATAGCTTATGATCCCTAGCAACTTTAAGCTAACTGTGTTTTATCCATGTGAAAGGAATTTCTTTTGTGAATGTATCTTTTCTAATTATTGATTTAACCATGGTCTCTGTTGGAAAACATGACTTAGAAATAAAATGTGAGGAAGCACTTTTAAGCTGATTAGTAGGAAATATGATGTTATTTTCTAATAATGGTGGGTATTTTCCTCTTTATTTTTTTTATCTTTTGTATTTACTTTATTTGCTTATATATAGGTGCTCTTCTTAATTAATAAGATATAACAAAGTTTTCTTCTCTTAAACAGGTTATTGGAGTAGCATTAATCCTAAACTTTGCTACTGTACCCCTTCTTTCCCTCTCATTTTCATTGTCATTCATACACCCTTACTCACTGGCTTGGTCTACACACGACCCTTCCCCCTCACTAGCTTGCTTTTTTGCTCTCTCACTCGCTTATTGTGGTTGTGTCTGCTTGTTGCCTCACTTGTGCTCATGTCACACGTGCTTGTTCATTGTCGTGCGACTTGCGCTTTCTCATTGCCATGATATTCACTTATGCTTATGCTCACACCGCTTGCATTTTTTTTGTTGTCATGCATGCACTTCTTGTGCATCTTTGTCTTGAGCTACTTGCACATATTTGTTGTTGCTTTTCTCGTCCTAAATGCACTCGCTCGTGCATGACCTTTCCTTGCTCTTCCTCATTGCTTCTAGTACCTCGCCAACACTTGCAATATCGTTTGCAGTCTGCCCTTGCCTTGTCTTTGTCTTCGTACTTGGAGCTTGTTCTTTTTTAGCCTTCACTCATTGCCATGATCTAAGTTTTTTATTAATTTTTTTAGATTCTCTCTACCTCTTTTCTCAATTTGGCATAGCATCTCCTTCTCTTCTTGCGACGAAACCATCCCTAACAATTAGTACTACCTACAAATTTTTTGTTTTCTTGTTGGTTCTTTTGATAAACTTTAGCAAATTGATGCATCTCCTCTGCCTCTCATTGAAGCCAAAATTTTTGAAATAGCTTTCAATTGATTTTGTTGTTCTCACCTAGTTACTCAGTAACCTTGAACCATTTATGGCTTTAATTGTAGTGTTCTGAGGTAATTTAAAAAATGGGGCTATTTTTATTCCACCTATTTCTGAAAAATAATATTTCTTATGTTCACACCTTATATTTTGAGATATTGTTTCTTTAATAAAATGATGTGCTTCTCCAAGACTACTACAGTTGCTTATGTGGAAAGTGGAACAAATTTTTCCAATACAAGCCATTTATTAGTGAATCTATTGATTGATGAAAATATAATGAAAAGCTTTTTTCCAACTTTCTCTTTTGGTTTTATCCTTTTCTCTATTACAAATGATGGCCAGCTCTATTGTGCCCAACATTATTAATGCTCTCTCTAGTTCTTTAATTCATTGAGCTCTTGCTTCTTTCTCATATGGTTTATGATCAATCTACTCTTGCGACTGGCATTTTGGTGGTCTAATTGATGGTGGTTGTGACAAGGGCAAAGTTTTTTTATCCTTAATATCATTGTGATCATTCTAATCATGCCTCATAATCGTGTTGGGCCAAGTCTGGTCTTCTCTCTATTGCTCAACATGTCTCTAATTAACTGTTGACCTTTCATTCCGAATGTTGCTTTAAGATCAATCACTTTATCTCAATAGGATTATGACCGCCTTGTTTAGAACTCCCAAACAACTTTGTTTTCTTCTCTTTTTGCTCTTTATTTTAGTTCGGTTGAGCATGGTTTAAAATTGCGCAATATGAGGCTCGCCTTGAGGACCGCCTTTGCGCAATTCCGGTAAAAAACACCTCGATGCTTACAACTTGAGTTTTTTTTATGAGGCTTGCGCCTCAACTTGGTTGAGGCCCGCCTTGAGGCCCGCTTCGCCTCACTGGCATGAGGATTATGCCTCACGCTATATATATTAAAAGTTACATAAATCTTGAAGTAAATGTCCGACATTAGACTCTATAGGAGAGGAGGAAAGGGAGAGAACAGTTCACCATAATGATGATTCAAATGAAGAACCCCTTAGTGATGACAGTGCTGATGACTTATGAGTTCTTATGTGATATGTCATTGCTATTTATTTTTGGAAATTGGAATTATATGTTAATGAAAAGAATACTGGGATTTGAGAAAGATAGAATTTTGAGTTAGAACTATATTTCATGTTGTCTTATTATTGAGATATTTTGATTTCACTTCATATCTTATGCTTTTTTTATGTTTTATATTATTCACTCATTATTATATAAAAAATTTATCATTCTATGTTTACGCAATCTTTTGATTTTGAGGCTTACGCCTCAAAACGCCTTGAGGCTTACGCCTCGCCTCACGAATGAAAAACGCCTCAATATCCGAATGCGCAATTTTAAACATTGCGGTTGAGGCCACTTCTATCATGTTTTGGATTATAGAGTTTAGTGATCTTTAGATATGATGATAAGTGTCACTTGTTTTTCTCCTTTGAGACCTCTGTCCCACTTGTTGTTGTTGCTAATATCCCCCCCTTCTATGCGCTTTAAAAAGGATTTGTATCATTTTCCATGGGCTTAGCTCTCTATAACATATTGTATGTTCTCAATTTTCCTATAAATTTTTTTAATACATTGTCATACTCTCAAAATTGTTCTTTTAATCTTGTACCCGGCTCATTTATGTTTCAAGATCTCAGTACAAACAAGAAGATTGATAGAGTTATTGAAGTTAGTGAAATTTTCTTCATAACCCTTACAATCTCATCACCTTCACTTCCATAATCGCACTATATCAATAACATTATTATTTCAATTATCCTCCATGATAGCATCTTTGGTAGTTTATTTTTACCCTTTTCCTCTCCATCTTCACATGTCATGCTTGTGATATTGGTAATCATCATTATTTGGCTATCTTTTTCTTGTCTAGTCCTAGTACCCCTTTTGAGTAAGCTTATTTGAATATTTGTGGTCTAAGTCCAATTTTTTCCCATATAGGTTTTAAATATTTTGTTATTCTTATTTATGATTTTTTTTTTCATGTCACTCGAGTCTGTTTATTCAAATATTAATTTGACACTGTTTGTATTTCACAAATTTTGTTTGAAAAGAGTTTTCTATTATGATTAAGACTCTTCCTATTGATATTTATGTAGTCTTAATTTAAAATATTTTGTGCTGATAATAAAATCATTCAACATACATCATGTCCTCCCTATATGCCTCAGAATAAAATTGCTAGATATAAATATTATCATTTACTCGTGTTGCCCTCACATTGATGTTCTATGATAATTCTAGGGACACTACATTAACTGTTTGCTAGTTTATTAATTGACTCCTATGAGTGACTCTCTTTAACTATTCTTGATAATGTTACCCTTTCTTCATCTTGTATTGGGCGATCCGCCTTTTTTTTACCCTTAATATTTTTGGATATCTTTGATTTTTTCATTCTTTTCATGCTACTTTCAAACTCTTTTGGTTCTTAGTGCTTCCTTTATCACGTGTCATCTTCTCCTTAAT